GAGCACATACATAAGAATAAATTTTCCACCTTGGTGTCCCACAGACCTTCAGTAACTATAGGGGGTCACAGTGCAGAGTCAGTTCATTTTGGCAGCTAACGGAGCATTGAGTACCAAAGTAATTGACAAAATAGCGCAATCAATCGAAATGGACTATTATTGAAGCAGTATTCCTGAAGATCACGAAGAGGTGGCTGACTTGTTTGGGGTTCCTCATATAATTTGTCGTAGCCTGTAATCAACAATTTTATGCTTTGGAGAGACAGTTCTGGCTTTATCTTTTTTGTAGGTTTGCAATTATGATCAGTTGACTTCCGTTTGGTCGCGTAATTCACTCGGCCTTGGTATTGTTTGGTTTAGAGTTATAAACCTGTCTTCTGAAGCCCGAAAGTTAAGATATGACATTAATTTTATCGGTTTGGTTTATCTGATTCCTTGAATTTGGACGTCCTCAAACAATATCATATTTACCAACTTATTTGGTTTAAACAAATATATTAGTTTTGGTGAGCTTTTGAACATTCGTTTTAGATCGACTTCGAACTCACCACAACACAAACCTTTAGAATACGGCTTAATTTGGGAGAGAACAAATCACTTTCCGGCGGAAGAGGAAATTAGGAAGAGACGTTGGAAGTGAACAGGTCACACATTGACAAAATCATCAAACTTCAACACGAGGTAACAGCTTGCTCAGAAGGGAAACGGAAAAGAGTGAGACCAACACACTGAGTCGAGAACTAGAAGCAGACATAAAGAGAATGAATAGCAACTGAAATCAATCTTATTAATTTTATTATACGGGTATTACTTCGCTCATAATATCATGCCGCTCACCACAGACATATATATTCAATACACTTTGTATTTTAGGTACGATATTTCAGCGTTATAAATTCATCCGTTTAGCGTGCATGTTATCTTTCCATTAGATTCCAATATTCTGTTGGGACCAGTTGTCGTACTTTCTTTGTGATCACACGCCTACGTATATTGTTCCGACCTTTGTACAAAGTTATGTTATCGTTCTAAGTCATTATTTATAAACCTATTCTTCCTTGTCAGCCTATTTATGCATGTTCATTTTTAGGGTACTTCTCGTCACATGTGTCTCGCCTGCGTCTCCTTTCTTAATATAAATGTTGAATCACCTCCCGAAAAGTCAAGTAGGCCATTTCTGCCACTCCAGTTTGGATGGATCTCTCCTTATTATTTACCTATCATCTAGATTATCGAATATTCGAAATATATACTACCAAGACGCTTTCTTATTCAGCTTTTCACATCTACCTTGCTATCAACGGAGCATGTCCATAGAATATGTACGAAGTCAAATTTAACATTTATTTCGTCAACATTATATTTTTCTATCAGTTTGAAGATGAAAACAGGAGCTAAACACAGACGCGTCTGCTGTAGTCTAATGTGGAGAGATATAATATCCACTGTCATCCATCGATGATAGATTGACAGTCACTGTGATTGAATGAATAGCATTTCATCTTGTTAGATTCCGCATTCAAGTGGGCGCTTACGGGATGGATACAAATTTTCGATTTGTACATCACTGAGGCTGAACGAGCCCCGATAATCAGCCTATTTTCAAACCTTAGAAGTCCCTCTTATCACACATAACTTAGAAAATGACTGTAAGTCTGGATGTGCTAAAGAACTTAAATCTTCATTCATTAGCTACGATTGTAGTGGAAGTCTGTTCAAGTGATGTGCTTGTTTGCACAGTGTTATTAATAAGCTTCTTTACATTTTTAACCGTCTAAAACGAACACATTGTTGTTCTAAAATCACCAAATCTTTGAGAATAATTTTAATTGTCACGAACTAATCTTTCACACAGTTGTAGAGCTTCTAGTATCTCCTTGCTTTGTTAGTTGAAAGAAGCTCATATAACGACTGTTGTAAATTGTCGTTTTTAAAAATAATAAAGATAGTGGCCCAAAAACTATATTGAGAGACTTGTGCAATGCATTTCGCATCTTGAAGAAATTCAAGGCTACTCCAGATACCAAATAATGCACTTTTCACATCAGAAGTTAATCGGCAACTAAATATTCATCTATGTGAGCCTACCAGAATGGCCATTACTGACTCACTTGAAGAATATGGAACTTCCTAGATGCGGATCGTTTATTTTTACGATGAAGAATACCAGTTTATATACGTAATGTGTTCAAAAGTTTCGTGACACTTGGGTTATGTCCCGAAGCCATCTTTGGAGGTCTGTAATCTCTAGAAAAACATCATATGATGCTCCTCAACAATGGTGACAGTAGTAGCAGTAACAGTTACGATAGCTAGTTACCTAGAGCGATAGTTTGTTGTCGAAAAAGTAAATTTGAATATATGTAAATCGAGTTGTAATTCTGTGTACTTCTGAACTGTGTACGAACAGTGTAAGAAAGGAGAGATAGTATCTAACAGTGGAATCCAGGGCACATGTTTCGTTCTGTTCGGGACGCGTCAGCTAGATGTACCTGCATTCCAGGGTTGTTCACTCCACGACTCCAGCCCGGTCACATTCGCTCGTAACACCAACGCGCTATCCACCTAGCTAGTTCAGATAGCCACTTTGCTTACAATGCTTTTGACCTAAGGCAGTATTGAGGCAATACGCGCAAGATGCATATGTGTCTATAAGGGACTGGTCAATTGAAGCCCTAAACATCAGTGAAAAGTTGTGAACAACCAATGCAAAATGTATTAAAACCTTAGCCCATATCTCGAGATAGTGGCCATCTGGATTCAGTAGTTAAGTGGATAGTGCGATGGAGTTCCAAGTGAACTGTACTGGGTTTGAGTCCCATTACGAGTTCCTAAACTGATATGAATGTGAAATCAGCTGAAGAGTCCGGAATAGAGAGGAACATGCGTTCTGGATTCTACCGCTAGCCACCATCTATATTTGCTTACAATGCTTGTGACTAAAGGGAATATCGGGGCAATCCTCATAGGATGTACATGAGCCAATAAAACTGACCTACTGCAGTCCTAAACATTAATGGGAAGATTCAAACGAACAACACAAAAATGAATGTATACAGGCATGTTCGCTAGTCGCGAACGCTGCAAACATAGAGATACACAAAACCATGGGAGAGACACCGGCTTAAACACTACTGAGGAACATTTTACCATTACATACAGTCAGGTTTCTAGGTCATTTTTTTCATGAAATGTCAGATTTTGTTGTTTTATGATCAATTTGAATGTCAAGTTATATCAAAGAAGACATTAGATTGATCACACCGTTGTATGGAAAGTGCTATGCCCACGAAACTAAGGCACATTGCGATTATGTACCAAGTTGTTGTAAGTCATTGTCCGTTACTGTCAGTTTTTTACGTAACGAATAAGCATAACAAATTTAAATGCGGTAAGAATTGGTGGCTTGTCTAGAAATTAAACAATTTTTAATCGTTATGTCAAGAGCTGCAGTTACACGTACTCGTGTCTGATATGCTGTGCAACAAGTACAGGGAAGAACCAAAATCTTCTGACCCAAAATGACAAATCGAACAAACAGTAGGACTTGTGCAACTATACTGGTCGAAGTAATCAACACAACCGCAACATGTCCCACTAAACAACAATATAAGCAATACTTAACTGAGTGTGCGATATCTATCAGTTTAAGAGAAGTTTTAGATACTTCTGGGTTGTTCATATCTTGCAACACTTTAAGCCTATTATCATGATCACATACGACAGGAATATAGATGTCCAACAAATAGAGTTAAGCGTCCAGACCTCCAGGACTATCGATGACGTCAGTATCAGACAAACACTGACGTATTTGGTCAGAGCAACTCTGACTACGAAGTTTTGAAATATGAAGAAGCAAAAATAAGTAAGGTTGTTGGTTCTCAAGCGATCTGAAAGTAATTAACAAATCATACCCGAAGGTACGGGTGTTACTAAGTCTTCCATTTTCTTGAAGTTCGTACCTACGAGATAAAGGTTGATCACAAAATTTCATTAGCCTCCGAATTCTGTTATTGTAATCATAGTAACCTGTTATAAAAAATGATGATGCAATGAAACACTGACAACAGAAATCTTTGTTGTGTATGACTAATCCGATTAAACTTAATTAAAATCATCTCGAAGATATTTGGCAACGAAATCGACTGGCACTATTTGATGCGGTTCGGCTGGTAATAACTTTATTCACAGTGATATCAATTTCGATCTAACGACTGGGTTGGTCAGGTAATTATGTGGAGTCCAGAAAATTATCGAACGCTCACAGTTATTGAGGCTGTAAGAACAAATGAACTGGACACAGTATATTTATCTAATGAGGAAAACGATAAATAGTTAACTTTGAGTAGACATTCTAAGACGTAAGGATGACACAGGTATTCGAATTTCGACAACTCATTGACATGTAATTATTTTATAATAGAAGTACACCAACCAAGTCACGTGAAAATTCGGAAATAAAGGAGTTCGAAGATATAGTTACAGACCTATCGATGCAACGAGAAGAGTTTGATCAAAGCTGACTAGAAGTTGCAAATTAAGCGTAGCACGGTGTGCCCACTCGTGATTTGATATGGAAAAGTGACCAGGCTCCCTCAACTAGGTGCGTCCAGTAAAACCAATAAAGTCCGCACCAGTGTCGAAGAAATAGCGAACTATTTGTTTTCGGTTACAATTTAAAGCTGCAGACTTCCATACTGTATATGTTAATTTATTCCCTGAAAAATTAAAAGACGAATGAAAATTCCTAGGACACAATCCGGTTTAATCAGGAAATACCACTTATCAAAAAGCAACTAAGGAGAAAGTTTGTTACAGCAGGAACTGCCTTGTAGGTCCAGTGGAACATTGAAAGTACTATCATACATGATATGATCAAAAGCTTAACATGAGATTTCTATTATAACGTAAGATTTTGTATTATCTCAAAACTTCAATTATAGTTCAACCCTATTTATTTGGGTTTTAAGTTTCGAGGAATATTTCGTACTTTCAATTTTGTTTATATCGTTCGTTCAACCATTGAGAGTCGAATTTCGCTTGCAATCTGTTCTAGGTGGATTCATGTTATACGTTAAGACTTTGTTCTTTGCCACTAAAAAATGTTGTTTATCAATCTGTGATTAAGTTGGCAATAATGTATGGCAAGAACAAGTCGGTTGGGATCCCGTCTGATGCTCAGTCTAAAGAGAAGTTAGTTTAAGAATTCAGTTTATTGCTGTAGATTGGCGGTGTATGTTTACGAGTACCTTGTGCACATTGGGGCACAAAAGACAGCTAATTCTTTTCTTCAAGAGGTAATGTCTTCTTAAGTAATGCAGTTACTTAAGATCCGGTGGGACAAATCAATAAGCGTCGGCGAGCCTCCTGGATTTTTGCACTCATGGTGGAGGTAGGTTTAGTTCTTTTTCTTTACTTTGGTTAGTGTATTTTGGGACCTGTACAGTGCGGCTCCTGAAAGACGTGATACACATGAGCACTCAAGCGAAGCCAAAGCATTCCACGACTATGTAAGCACTTTTATGGCCTAACTCTAAAATCATAGGGTTTTGTGAATTCGGGTTACCCAAATGGATTACCACATGTAAGTTCGACCGTTTATCTGTAGTCTTTTGTTTGTGCTACTCTATTGGCTTTGCCTCAGCCAGTCGGCTACATGGCTGATGACGTTATCACGAGGTTTGTTACTGGATGAATAGTTTTCCAAGTGTACCTCTTTCTTCCTTTGTTGTCTCAAATATTCTGCCTGTCACCAATTTTTGTGTCTGAGCGCTATACGGTTAACAACCGTTAGGATCTCGAAAGAATAATATCGATACTCGGTAGCGATATTGTTAGTGTCATTCTGGGCTGGGAGATTTCAATCATACCTACGGTGTTTTAAAAGGGAGAAATATCTTTTGATTCCTACCGCTTAGTAAACTGCTAGTGTTTCTGTAATATCCCAATTCGTCACAAACACCAAATTCTTAGAGTAAATGTATTCTTTCTTTGTTATTTCAGTACCTTGGGTTTCAAGTTCATTTTCTTCACTACCGTATATTAGGATTCTAATCAAATTAACACTCACTAGTTTCATATCTGTTACATCCTAAATAAGTTGATAGTTATCACTGATTCAAGATATTTAAGTCATCACTAGCAGGTTAGTATATTCATCAATGGTCATAGACTGGGTACGGGTGATTGATCATATTGTTTTATTATCATCTGGTCAAAGCATATATTACGTATACATGTATCTGGTCTTGTAAAACCTAACCATATAGTTTCAGTATTCTACATTTTCCCCTTACGTTAGACCAACTTCTTGGTTCAGATACATCTGTTAAACTCCCACATTCTTATTACCACCCAAACTAACTAAATGTCTAGTTTAGAGCCACTATGAGGAAACGGGTTCTCTTCTTCTTCCTCATCCACCCAAAGAGTATGAAACAGAAAGGTTATATATCTGCTTGTACGTCTGAAACATGTATTGAACACACTAATCATAGCTGTAGTTTAGCTTAATATAAAGTGAAGTAATCTGTAATTTCAACAGCATCCACGTGAATATTCATATGCAGATTCGTGTACTCAATCAAAAGCTGTGGTTTAAATTATTATAATCTTCTGAATTATTCATGTCCCTTTTTTCCTTTTTCCAAATTTATTTCACTGTATTATACTCCTTGAATAACATCTTTAAACCATAGTGTTTCCGATTACTGTTTATGTTTTTACTGCCTCTATCATCATGGGATTTGAGTCGACAACTGCATCTCTGTGCTAATGTGGTATGGCAACTCGAACTGATGTAAATATCTACGAAGCTCTACGTTGTTACTGACTGTGGTTTAAATATATCCGTGTTGTTAACATTCACTAGTTTCACACAACTTGTGTGGTTGCTTGCTCCACCCCTAAATATTGGCAGCCGCGCTTTATTCCGAGGCCATATTCCTTAAGTGCAAATACCATCAGTGTAAAAACTGCCAACCTAGATAACTAGACTAGCTAATTGGGAATTTCAAACCAAAGTATTTTATTTGACATGAAGTCGGTGCTTGATTCCGCTAATCGAGAACAGTCTCCCTAGCTAAAAAAAAGTTATATTACATGACTAGAAACGCCCTAGTCAATAGTTCGCTACTTGGTAACGTATGGCAAAGTTATTATTTAAATTGTCTATGTTTAGCCGTATTTGTTCGAATGGTTCGTATTCTACATATTTCATTCAAGTGTTTTGGAAATGCTTATAGTAACGAGTTTTTTTGCGATTATCCTGTCTATTTAAAGTGTGAACAGCCTTATGAATCGGCAGAACCATTATTTGGATACTTTTGATTAACTCAGTATTTTCCCCATAATTGTCTGAAGATTTTTTAAAATGTACTCTACAACAAAAATTTGAAATAAAAAATGCCCAGACTTTTAGATTACATTTACATTAATTTATCAGGTATATTGATCAGTCAAAAAGTGTGGAGTCTAGTGACATTTCGTTTGCCCAGAATGTAGTGGTTCGAACTGGGTTCAGATCTGAGTTTTATTGGTTGAAAGTTGAATGTCTTATCGATGATCTTTAATGTCGTATATTGTATGCGAGTTGATCATCACCTAGTAGGGCAGTATCGTAAAGGCTAAGGCGTTCAACTTACAGCCACTAAGTTTTAAGTTTAGGCCCAACTCCAAGTACTCCGGTTTAAGAAACAGAGTACTATCTCAAGCCCTCACATTTAGGTTGATTCAAATCCATGTTATATCTAGTCGAATTAAATTTAGGGTTCATTATGTTGAATGTTCTTGATAAATAAAATTTTTCAGTACTTTGTATTATAAAACATATTTTTTTGCATTTTGATTTGACCTCGATTCTCATTAGAAATGAATCCATCTTTCATTCAAGTCGATTTAATTATATCTTATCTGATTTGACAGCCCAATCACCCTGTTATGTCTGGCCCCCCAAGTGTCAGTGGTCCTGGTGGAGCAGGACCGGGAATGCCTCCTCCACTCGGACCCCCTGGACCCGACCCAGTATCAATGAGACAAAGGCCATCTGGACCACCTTTAATGACAGCCAGTGGTCTTCAAAATCCAGGACCTGGTTTACAAGGACCTTCACCTCATCATCCGTCAGTACGATTTCATCAACCTGGTACAGGTGGATACCCAGGTATTCCTGTCGGTAGTAGTATGATTCCTCCACATGCAAATTTACTGCCAGGTTCGGGTCCTTCACATCCCATGCACGGTAACCCTATGATGCCTCATCATCACCCACCCGGTGCCATTGTAGGTCACCCTCGTCCTAGGTGGATCGGTCCATCTATTCCACAACAGGCAGGTGGTCCTCCATGCCCTCCCCAACAAGGCGGTGGCCCTCCAGTTTGTTCAGGATCGGCTGGGCCGAATTCAGTATCGTCAACTGGACCTGGAAGTGTCGGTCCGGGTTCGTGTGGAGGCAGTGGTATAGTTCCTAGTCCCGGTCATCCTGGTACACCAACTCAACACGCTCCTCATCTTGCTGCTCCTAGTCCCATCAACAATCAGGTAAATGTTTAAATGTCACAAATACTACTCTGGGTTGTTTTTTTCAGGGTAAATTATTATGACATCTCGTTTTCGAAAGACTAGAGCGACTATGTAATTATATTAATATAGTATAATATGGATGTAAAGTGTAAAATTTTCAGTGGTTCCAATTTGTCAGTCACTTATGTAGCTGTCCATAGTTCATGTAAGTTATTCAAATGTTCACAATGCTAACAGTTATGTAAAATGATGTAATGGCTCCCTCAGTAGTTTCTTCATGTAATACTTACGGGGTTTTTAATACTCCGGACGTGTTGTTTAAAATACTAAATTAAGGTTAATTATTTTTAGTTTAGTTTAAATTGATTTTGTGTTTCAGTGTAAAACTTGGTTCAATATATAGTTTGTATAGACACAGGCTTCATATGGAATGATTCTGTTTTTATGAGAATGGTGATCGGACATAACAAAATTCGGTAGCAACATTATGTGACAAAAACAGTTCCTTTAGCCCATGTTCACAAAAAGAAGATGGTCTTATTTGTACACGGTTTTACTAATTCTACAGGATTCAAAACTGCAATATACTTCGTCCATATTTTATTTGTTATTGAGAAAAGTAAGTCCAAGCTACTAATGAGGGAAAGGAAATAGTTTGTATGTAAAGTATGGCTTCCTAACCCATGAGGTCACTTCGGTGGGTGTAAGCAAAAAACTTAACAGTATTTTCAAGATAATTCTAGCGTCATGGTACATCAAAAATGTTTACACATTCGATCAAGTAATTGTATCCTTGTTTTTCATGACTGACTTCCGTAACACATTTTACTTTTACTGTATATTCTAGCTTATCACCGAATTCACGACCGTTTTTCTCATCTTTTTGTCACTTGATAAATTGTAACTAATGATTTAATAGTATGGTCTTATTTTTCATTTCCTATTTCATTTAAATGTAAACAAATGAATTTTGTCTAAGCTATTCACGAGTTAGCTACAAATATATGTTAGTAGTACGTCTTTAGATTTGTACAAGTTAAAGGGACCCATAATTAACCATTTTTAATGGGTTATCGAGATAAAATTAAGGGAAAACCATAAATTAGATTAGCAGTAGCTTTCCCTTCGTAGTTAAGAGGTTTTAACCATACACACCTATATTTATAAAGCTCAAACTATCTCTTATTAAGTACTGTTTTAGTGGACAGTAATTGGTGACATCGTTGACTATATTGCTGTATATATACAAATGTCCGCCTACCTCATTCTGTATGATAACTTTTTTCAACTTCAGTCTAACGATCACCAGCCGTCTGGAGGTGGAATGTCAGGTCATCCACATCATCCTACACCGCCACATTATATGGGTGGTCAACCACCACCACAACAACAAACACCACCTTCTTCAAATTCCTGTCTCCCTCCAGAATATGCTGCAAGACCTTCTCCACATCTTGTTTTTAGTGGTGGAGGACCTGGCTCTACTCCTGATAACGGTATGTTTGGTACAGGTCCCGGATGCAGTGACTCTGGATTATTAAATGGTTCTGTGGGCCCTCCTCGTAGCAGCGGAATGATGCCCCCTCCTCCCCCAGACTACTCAAGTGGTATGCCTTCTTCTGCATCAAACCCTTACCCACCCGGTTCTGATCTCAAAGCCTCGCCGTTACATGGGGGTCCTGGAATGGGTTGTGACATGGTAAGTCCAGCTGGAGGCCCTCCCCCATTGATGCCCTCTGATTACCCTTCCGGCAATGGCCCTGGTGGCAACGGACCTGGACAAGGCAGCAGTGGGTTCCCAGGAGATTCTGTTATGATGATGCCTCCGCCGCAACAGCAAAGTGTTTTACAACAGCATATGGGTGGTGGACCGCAAGGCCAAGCTCCGCCTCCTCCTCAGTATGTTCCTTCTGGGGGTCAGCACTCAGGGTCAGGTGGGGGTCCCCCATCGTCCATGCAGTCCGTTTGTGGGGGATCTAATCCTAGTCCAGCTGGCGGTCCGGGTTCTGTGCAGTTTCCAGTAAGTTTTCATGGTTACCATCACTATTCAGATTAAATTTGATCTTTTTACACAGCACTGAGTTTTTTATTATCCAGTCAGTTGCTATGAAATGTATCGAATAGAGTTGAGCTTCTTACTGACTAACGTCGTGCTACAAGTATTTAGATGTTGTACATTTTTGGTCACGCTCATGTTTTAGTAGCTTTGTGTAGCGGTGGATTATGACGTTAAGCTTTCGACCTTCGGTCACCAAGTTTAAACCTCGCTCCTAGTTTGATTTTAGCAATGGCGTAGTATCACTAGCTGCTGTATTTAAAATGTTGCTCAAAGTACACAATTCTGTACCGGAAGAGTTGCAAGCGTTTACATCACTAGTAAACTCTACATTTTAGTGTGACAAAATTGTGAAGAATGTTTGCATGCTTGGAGCTTCAAAAAATTTTCCACTGAATTTCCGGATCTGTCAAAATGTCAGTTTTCTGCTTGAAATTTTCATCCACGTTGGAATCCTGGTGTCTAAGACATAAAGTGTGGGAGTCAATAGTACCGTGAATTACTGCTCATGGTTCGTTACTGTACTTTGCCATTGAGCGATATTTATACGATGCGTTCGTAAAATAACGGGATGCTCATTTCGAGACTAAGTGGTATTAAATAAACCTCAAATTTAGTACGTAAATATGAAGAGTAAACTCATTGGCTGAAAGGTTTTTGGTTCACTCATAAATTACTGTGTTAACGTGTAGAAATATACCTAGGTAGCATAGATATCAGAATTAAATCAATATTCGCTTACCTTCACTCTCATTATGATTAAATCCATGAATATGTAATGACAATAATAATAGTATATGCATCTCTAAAATGACCGTTGTGAAGATGCATCGAAACGATCCTCATATTCTAAGGGTCAAGAAAAGTAATGTTTCAGCTCAAGCGACAACGTCACCTAATGTGGATGAGCTCAATATATGTTAGCAACACATTTTCTAGCGATTTAGCGTATATACAATTAGGTTTTATATTGCGTTAAAATTTAACGGAGAAGCTGCCTGTTATTTTTTTATATTATTTCCCAAAAATTAATTATGATCCACTTTTTCTGCGTTCCAGCAAGAATATTCGTTCAGTCAAATGTCCTAAGTGGATCGTGTCGAGTGCAACTACCCTCCTGTTTGTCGAAAACTGCAGCCATCAGGTGGCAGTGTACTGGTTTCTGTTTGTGCACCTTTATTATTACCATTTTGTTCTACACAATATCTGCATGTCAATTTACAAACCCTTTTTAGATTTGAATGTGTATCTTATCCTTAAGTTGATTGCCCTCGAATCATGTCTCACCCGCCTATCAGTGTATATGTTTCGCGGAGCCATTATTTGAAAGACATGATCTAAACAGAGGAATCTGTCTAAACACTTTTATATTTCTTGATACCCCGGTATCACCTGAGCGCATGGACACCAGTAATAATTTCCATTAAATGAAATTATCATTTATTTTGTTAATGAATTCCTCGATTGTTTTGTGTCATACCTGCTTTAAATGCATTTAATGTTTTGTCAGTATATTTCTCCTTGTAGTACATTGTCTGCTTAATTACAATTTAACTAGCATTATACATTTGATCTTTTTAAATAATGTAACGATCTTGACAAATATCAGTCTGCCTGCACAAATTTGTAAAACCAAATGATCTTGGGTGTTTTCTAATATGGATCCATAGTCTATTGCAGTACTGTGAACGGACGATTTTAAAATTGCGATGGATATTGTTCAAAACAGTATTTCTCATTTTTATATTCCTGTGACTGACCATACTTAAATGAATGACAGTAAATTTTTCATGTCCAACAATTCATTTTAAGTAGAAACTTCTCTTTGTCTTTTCAGCAACATCGTATTTTGTAAACGTTAGCATAAATTTTTTCGCTGAGCATTTTCGGTTCTATGACTGTCAAAGAATTTTCATCACACTTTCTGATTTACATTATTTGTCTTCAGTTGGTTTGATGTTTTCACTACATTCTTAAATTTATTATAATTGATAAATACTTCCCAAATTTACGCCTGCATATCTGTGTAAGTAATCTGCCTGCATTAACACTTTCTTTATCTTCTGCTCCGTACTGTAAGAACATTTTCAGGTTAACGTACGACAATATTTATTAAGAACCATGTTGCAGCAATATCTACATGAAAAATTTCTGTCATAAAATGTACGTTATCGCTCCTTTATGGAAAGGTTAAGATCCATACGAATGTAAATGCATTTTAACCACATTTGACTTGAAGAATTCTGACAGGTTTTTCGGTCTTATTGAATAGATACTGCTGGCTATGCACGCATTGGGTTTGCGTTATTGTTCAGCAATGGGATTTCGGCTCTAAGCCTGCTCATACACATGCTGGATTTTGTCACAACTAGACTAACGGAATTGATAAATGTGAATCCTGTTGGTAATGGGTAAAACTAGCAGATCTTAATTTACTGTTTGGAATCTCTAACGTAAGCAACTTCTTCGATCTATTGGTGTTTTTAAACTTTATCGAAAGGAGCAACATAACTGCTGCTTGATATTCTTGTCAGTGACACCAATTGTGGATCATGTAGCTGTTTTGCTCTCTGCAAGGAAGCTTACGGACTGGTATATCCCCAAAGTTATAATTTGGTACGTAAGTATGCGTATCAGTCAGTCAGCTACAACGTATGACCAGGCACATATATGCATCGGTCCAAGTTGCCATACCTCATTAACACAACAAGATAAACACCGGATTCATAAAAGTAGTTAATTCAGAGGTGGTTATAAATAAAGGAAAGATTGCATATAAGGATATAGAACAGGAAGAAAGAATTAGTTGGTAGAAAGAAAGTTGTGTAGCGACTTGAAACTCTTAGTTTAAGGGAAGACAGAGCGTATACACCTACGCCATTGTGATCGATTCTGAGCCATGTCACCACGAGTCTCCAACCATTGGTTACGATAGTCACGCGGACCCCAACCAAGTAGTCTGCATCTACCAACATGGCTCAGACTAGAAGTTAGTGACTTCAGGCACTGATGCCGCGTTTTGGTTTGGCCGCCCCTAACTTTCTTCCAACCATCCCCAACACCGCTTAGCATTGCACGTCGTGGTAATCGGTGTTCAGGCGTACGCAACGCGTGGCTCAACCATCTCATTCGATGAAGATTCAAGACCTCATCAACTGGTTTACCATCGTTCTCTTATACCCTGCATCTAATCTCACTATTACCCGGTGATCCCAGCAGATGCGAGCAATATTCCTTAGGCATCTGTGGTCAACTACTAGTAGCCTACGGTTATCTCCTACTCTTAATGGCCATGTTTCGTTGCCGTAAATTAAAACAGAACGGACTGCCACGCGGTATACTCGTCCTTTAATTGATAGACGGATATCTCGCCTTCTCTATATGTGACGTAAGTTGGCAAAAGCCAGGTGAGCTTTTCGAATCCGTGCAGAGATTTCATCAGACACCAAACCACTAGGGCTGATCAGACCACCAAGATAAGTGAAGTTGTCGGCGCGTTCGACTTCTTCACTCCTTATCCTTCAGGTGTTGACGCAGACCAGTCCTGGAGCAATAACTTGCATTTAGACTGAGAGAAAAGTATGCGTATCATATTTTAAGATCAAGTGTAAACGTTTAAAACCTCACATCAGTATTTAGAGCTCTACTGTACCGGTCCTGTTGCAAATCGTTTTGCAGATAAAGGGGCGCATGATACTCTAAATCTAGTAGGAATGTTATCTTAAAAGTTTTCTATAGGAAATCTAGATATACGCATCCATATCAAGCAGTCTCGGGACTTGTATCGAGTAGTAATGTTTACTATCTCAATATGAAGTGTTGGTCCAGTGTAAGTAAAAACATGATTATTAATAACATATATTTAGATATTGCTACATCAAAGTACTCATTTAAGAAATATTGAGGCCCGTGTATGTGACAAAATAAAAAAACATCGACTACATTTGTAAATAAGGTATCAGAATGGACACCACAAATACTGTTCGCTGTTTTCAACTTTCCATGTAAACGCGGTTATAAGTGTTAAAAACATTCGGCAAGTCATGAAGAAAAAAGAATTTGCATCAAGAAATATTCAAGTTCGTTGGAAACTAGCTGCGTCTTAAGCGTTTGGCTCGTCCTCTCCCCCTGCCTCTGCTGACGGCTTGTGGTGGGGAGCTTGGCGGTGATTCGTTTTGACGGTTGTGTGATAGGACCTCAGGGGTAACAAATTTAGATGATGCTGTACGCCGTCGTGATGACAGCCGTATGCCGCTACTTTCCTTTTTTCCATGTTTATCAAGTGTTTGCGATGTTGAGCGATCTAGTTCATCAGACTCAGTTTTCAAATTGTGGTGTTTAATGTCTCGCACTCCAGGTATTTGTACAGAATCTTGCTCATTCTTTCCATCAACAGGTATGGTTGGTGTTTCATCCGTTGATTTTTTAGGCAAATCTTGTGTGACAACAACCAAGGGTTCTTGGTACATGGGCTTTCGGTCTATGGTTGGAGGTTCAGTGAGCTTGTCATTTGCTTTCGCGCATGGTCTGAATTCAAATGAAGTAGAATATAGTAAAAGGTTTAGTATTTATTATTAAGATACTCCCAAATAAATTTATATAATTATGTACTGAAATGTATAAATCGGCATTATAAGTTGTTTACACGACCGTTTTGAAATCTGTAGTCCGAGTTCGCTACACAATGATTTGTGAGTGGATACACTAATGTTCTAAAGACAACCAGTAGTACTACGTCACTATGCAAGACTTTATAAGGTTCATCCTTCTTTATTTAGATGAACTACAGTGAAGAGTTATGGTATGTATTCTTGTGGACAAGAACATTTCATTCAGTGGTACTTTTATTTAAGTAATGAGGGTTTAGCTAAAACACGGACCCTTCTACATGAAGCCAACAGATGTATGCACAAGCACAATCAACGTGGTTCATTACAACCTTAAATGGGACTCGATGTGTTTCGAGAAAAATGAGTTTTGAAAGTGCGTAACAAAGTCTATATAATCAATTATCGTTCACGTCAACAAATGGGGAAAACTAATCTCCGCTGCAGCTGTTCCTTTAATGTTTGTCAACTTGAAATACCAAAACATAACTTACTTTATTATGCTGTCCAATGTGAAACGGTCGTGAAATGTATTGTAGAAATCACGTATGAAGCTTTCTGATTTAGTTCCAACGGTTCTGGCAATTGTGGAAAAGTCTTGACCATATTTTTTCATAGCTGTTAGCACAAAAGCTAGTTCTGTTTTTGTCCATCGATAAGATATCTATTTTTGAAAGCAATAAATCGATTAGCTTGGTTCTGGATAATATGGATAATAAGTATAATATCAGTTTTCTACGATGGTCAACGTTTTTCTGAACAATAGTGTGAAAACTTAGGTAATAAAAGTGGGGGACTTAGTGGCCATAGTAATTGGGATGAGATAGGCCTAGGTTTATTCTACTGAGCTGAATGTGCCTATAAACTCACACTAAAAGACCTAGTAATAGTGTAAATCATAGAGATGATTGAAGAAAAGTTAGTGATATTAGCAGCGGTCTGTTAAAATTGTATAGTCATTCGCTTACTGATATAAAGGTAAGAAAGCGTTGTGCTGTAGAACTCAACGCAATAGAATGGAATAGGAATTATAGGCTGATAATCAAAATTTAAGGCATGAACGTGTGAACATTTCAACATTACCGCCAACAATTCCGAGCTATCCAGTAGTATTTGCAACCGGGAGTTAATAAGTTTCCATGGAATATATGACATTAAAATTACTAACAATCTATATTCTAAGAATAGAAAGTGTGAATATTTTGTTGCAAATCTTTTGCGTTTTGTTATAATACAGCATCATAGATCTGTTGATGTGGAGAAATGATGACTTCTAGAGTTGAAAATGCCACAACATCCCTCCATATTCAGTTATTAACAGAAGAGGAATCTAGTTTTCAATCTGTCTGTATGATTAGACAACAAAATTTTGGGATTATTTGACTGAGTTACGGGTTGTGTACATGTTAAGAGTCTAGACGATTATTTCCCACCACCTGTGTAGGGGAATCACGACAGATGCTGTATATAACTGTAATCTTTAAGTAACAGATTGTATATTGTAGATAGGTGTTTATGAAAATGTATTTAAATATATAGCTATATTATACAATGGTGGGTGGATATATATATATAGGTGCGGTTTAAACAATGAATGTTCTAACCAAAATCTAAACTAAAACTAGACATTACTTACCTTTGCGATTTAACCTTCTTCATTTATAAACAACAAACTCTAGACGTACTTTATTGCGGTAGAAAATTATTTATAGATTGCATTAGCGTACATCAAATTCCACTTACTAAATTGAAGTAAAATTGTACATTTTAAGTTGATCATTCGAGAAATAACCGAAAATAGGAAAGTCCAAGTTTCCATTTATCAGTGGGCCAGTGAAAGTAAAGTGTATCATTCAGAAGGTCACTGCTATACATACAGGTCACTAATAATTTTAGCTTTTAAATGTCTATTATCTGCTGTGGACAAATCGGGATTCTATTTTAATTACGGATGCACGTATTTTTACACTAGATTTCAGAAGTTCATGAAAATGTATAACGATGACACACAGAATGAAACGGATTTTAGAGCAAGATTTCAATATAACAGATAGGTTTTGTGGATATTATAGTAATTTCAATGGTTAAGATCAAGAGTCAGTTGAAGCTAGACCACCATGGAAAACCTGAAAGCACTGGACGACCGTCAGTTGAAGCTAGTCTGACTCATGATCTCAACCACTGAAATTACTATAATATCCACAAAACCCATCTGATATTAATCAACATATGCGCACTAGTGACTGGCTTCAAGATGTATATCCTGGAGTTCTAGTGAGAAGTACTGACCAGTGGAGTTCAACCAGGTCTGTTGTGAGATAGTAACTACTGAAGACCATGGTGGATGTGTCGCTTAAATTCGTGGATTAGTTGAAGTTAGACATTAACACCGTTGGATACCGGCCTAGTGGTCTAGTGGTTAAGTGCTCGCGCGCGAAACCAGTAGGTCTTGGGTTCGAGTCTCGCAGGGGGCGAGGTCGTGTATGCGCACTGCTGAGGAGTCCCACGTTAGGACTAAACGGTCGTCCAATGCTTCCAGGTTTCCCATGGTGGTCTAGCCGCAACCGACTCATGATCTTAACCAATGTATCAAACGGGAGTTGGCTCAAATAAATAAGTATTATATATATATATATATATACCAGTACTAAATGGGTCAATATCAAAGTGAAACTTCTATGCGCGAAATAGCTATTCAATTGTAGAATACAAATTTTAGGTCATATAGATGTTTTTGTAATATGTTTTAGCGAAAAAACAGTTAAACGAATATATTGCCTATAAGTGCTACGTTATGTATTTGCAACGTAAATAGTACTTTATTATTTAAGGAAGTAAAAGTCTAACATTATCATGTCTTTAAAATGAATAGAACGCATGACAAAAATTCTAGAGATGTTTTCGGACGTTGATCTGGTGTAGATTATTCTTTCAACATACTCAGGGAACGATGTCAGTTGAATTAGGCAGTGGTTGGACATGTGTAACACATGTCTTACGTTGATGAACTTTCGTAAATGATATCGAATAATCCGACGGAAATATTTCCTCCTATTCGCTTTCAACTAAAGTGAATGTCATAGGATGAAGGAATGAATCTAGAGCGCGCGTGGGAAGAATTTATACAAATAGCTGGAAGTAGGAAATGTTTTCAAGCTTCGTGAATACAAGTAATTGAATTTAAGAGACTTAGTGAACACACCAAAATTTGTGATACTGATTGAGATGAGTGAATAAATAATTACAATAAAATAATCTGATTGTCAACATCAGTTTATTGTTCATAAGAAAAATTAAAAAATTTCAACTATGGAGAATTTGAGTGTAAATTGAAATGCGATCATCCCACGCATGTAAACATTTGCCTACTTAATCCATATTAAGTAGTATTCATATCACTCATGACAAAACTATGATGCATAACAAGCTATAAGATGAGGTGGTTTACTTTCAGCTAGAAAAATATGAATAATCACTAAACATTCACACAACGAATTTGACAGTGTATATGTTCTTGTTTCGAGATGAGAGTAAATGAATAGCTAACTATGTAATACGAAATAAATAACTTTTTTTTTACATGCTACTGAATTGAAGGCTGAAACATAACAATTTTGATCTACTACTAAAAGTCTCACAAGATTACTTAATAGTTGAATTCATGAGTCGATTTAAGCTAGACCACCATGGAAAACCTGGAAGTATTGAATGGCTCTCTCGTCCTAATATGAGACAGTTCAGCAATGCGTATTCATGACTCCGAACGCTGTACTCGAACCTGGAGCTTCGGTTTCGTGCGCGGACGCTTAACCCCTAGACCACTGGACAGGAATCCGACGGTGTTAATGTCTAACTTCAAGCAATTTACGATATTGCGCCACAAACCCCAAATCTGAAAAGATTATTTGTTTAGTATTATTCTCCATTCACTGTCAAATATTCAAAATTTCAGGTAATTTATTCACCAAAAGCATTTACAGGAAATCGATTGTGACTCATGGGAGCCCAATGAGTACAACATGAGAATGAGAGTAATTTAATAATGCATAAAATTAATGCTTCAGTAGCTAAATTAAAACTTTGAGCATTCAACTGCTGGGAATGTTATGGGTGAAATCTCCCAGGATTAAAGCACAGTACATCTTAGATTCAATCAGGTAAAATATGAAGTCATGACGTGATATGGGAATCAAAAATATTACTTCAAAGTTACACTTAGAAATGCAAAATCACTAGATTCAATGACAGAATATGATTTGAAACATCCCAGTCATTACCGACTATAATTGTAAGGTGACGTAACAGTTCGTATGCTCTTATATATAACTTTAAAATGCTAATTCAAGTCTGAGCTTACACTCAGTTATTCGTTTGTGTAGTGGTGCGCCAGTACATAGAGCGTTCAACTTTAAAATCAAAAGGTTATAGGTTCAAACTTTACTTTAAGAAACCAGATTGTATGACCTTCCAGAATGTAATTTTATCACCAAACGACCTTCATTGACTTGAAGTACGTAAATGAAAGTTTTGTTTTGAGGGGAAAATGATTGAGTGCAAAAATTTTTCAACAAAAATTGGTCGTGCATAGATGATTTTGACGCATATTTATTCTTACAATTGCAATATTTTTCTTGAAAACCAGTCTGGATTATTACCTAGTCTAGCGATACGAAATGAACTTGTTGAATGCATTCAATCACTTCACCTATTTTGAAAATTCAAGTTAGTAGCTGATGAAATCCTGATAGAAATATAAAAGATTTGTTTGGATTTGGCTAATTTCTACCAATTGTGTTACAAACAAGATGTGACTGTGAGCTAAAATGAATGTTAACTGTGCAGCAAGGTGATTTGTATCACTTTACACTTATCAAATACAACTATGAAAATCTATAGGGCATGCATAATTGATGACAGGTGTTTTATAGAGCATTGTTTGCGAATAATAGAACCATCCAAATGAAGCATATTAATTATAAATATATAGAATACTAAGTAAAGACAGTATGCTGTTTGATAAAACAGTGAATTTAAGTGTTTAAGGGATGATTTGCGTTTCCAATCATCACATAAGTATTCAGCGAACAAAGCATGGAATACTTTTCCAATAATACGAATTGATATGATACATATAGCACTGTTTTCAATGAGTGGTTATTGAAGTCGTGAAAAAAACGACTCTCTTAAAATACAAATTGTTTTATGTATGCGTGAAAAGAAAATAATTTACAGAAACAATATAGATCTACACTATTCCAACGAGTACAATTAGGCCACAAATTTAAGCTTAAGAGTTTCTACCTCTTTACCCTAAATACATAGAAAACACACTGAGCATTACTTCTCATAGTTTAATTATTATTGTATGAAATAAACAGTATTGCAAATCAATATCGAAATTCCTTAAGCAGTATTTACAACAGAGAAATTATTATTTTGTGTAATCTTACTTGAGGAAACCCTTCAACTGGTTTAAGCAATTCCATTTTATAAAGGACAGATCTTGAACGGGCTTCAGTAATCTAATGGTCCAACAAAGAATGAAAATAATAGAAACTGAATAAACAAAAATATAGATAATAAGTCAGTTAAAAGAAAAATTCTATTGTCAATAAAGACAACAAACCATAATGAAACAAGTTATACTCCACAGAACTGATGAATAACATAAAATGTGTAAATTTGATATATTATAGGATCTACTGAATGTTACGATGATAATTGTTTAATGGTTTGACAGGAGACAATTACTAGTAGTCTTGATGCGAATATAAACTACTAATAGAATTGAGATAGGTGGGTATAAAACTATCTATTTATAATTCACAAGTGAGCAGTAGTACATTTTTCATGTCTTTAAAATTACATAATTGAACTATGGTGATTTTAAGAGTGATTGAATAATTAATTCTTCAGTGAATTTGTTGATAAAAATACAAAAACGAGTCTAATAAATATTTTATTAATGTATAAATCATGCAATTAAACACCGAAAACTATCGCACAAGATATCTTGAATCATTATATGCTTATTTCATTTCTCATTCAACACAAAGAAAAAAAGATCAACGCACACTAAGAAAATATATATTCACTTGAATACAAATGCTTATAACTTAATCAAAAGTAACATATGCAAGGTATTTTCTTTACAGAACATGGTAATAATTGTTGACAAACATTTTAAGAGAATTAATTTGGTTAAAAATCAATTAATAAATGGATTGAATTACATGCTTTGGCTACTTCATGGTTTTGTGAATATACCTTGCTATGCTGATTGAAAAGAAACACAAATATTGATAGGCTCTACAATTGTCATATTTCCTCATTTTACTGTTTTCTTATTATGATGACATCCATTGCAAAGAATTTGTTTAAGATAAAAATCAAACGAAAAATAAATCGAGTACACTAAGCAAGCAACTTGATCATAATTTATTTTGCATTGGATTTAAATGCAGATCTACAGATATCAAAATTTACATAATAAGATAACTGAAAAACACTTTACAAAATGAATTATTCATTAGTTGTAATGATTTTAATCTCATTGTTGTTAATATTAAAGACTGATATTGGTCAATCTCTTTTGGCATACGTGCATCCTGTGCAGATCGTCTCAGTAAAGTGAAGATTTAAACCCTTATAGATGAGAAATAAGATCAATTTCCGTTGGACAGCCTAGCGGTTATCTAGACTCAGTAGCTCAGTGGACAATGTGTTATTCACTTGAAATGAAACTTACTGGGCTCGAGTGTAATGTGAACATCTATATTGAGTGTAGATACATTCACCTGTTGCGTACCAAAATAGGACGATAAGCGCACCTTGAACTCCACTTATAGCCACTTTACCTAATGAACAAATGATTATTATTTCAGTTGGTATGCGTTACAATGTCTAAATGGATTTGATTACCTGTCCAACTCTCCGAAGTGTAACAATTAATCTTCAGATTAATCATTGTTAGTGATAAATCTTTTTCAGAATTTAAGCTGGAGTTATTTTTCGGATTATGATTAATTATATCTTTATTGCATAAATAACAGATAAATTTGTTGTAACATTTCTACTCCTTGTGATATTAAAAATATATTATTTATCTATAACAATCTACCCAATGCTCAATTTATTCGAAATTATCAAGTCAAACTTTAGTCATAATACCTAATTATGTAGTCTTTGATCCGCTTTCTTTCACTTAGTGTGATTTCTTATTTGGTGTGCTGTATGGTCTGGCATTTCCAGTATACTATTGTACAGTCTTTGAGTCATGATCAAATTGCTGCTGCTCTATAAGGATTTGATTGAGCTAACAACATGAGAATCATGCATCATACGATTTGTACTGTGACATTGGAATTACCAACTGATAGCGTTGAATAAATGGTGTTAACTACAAACTTAACAAAATTCACACTTCTGTACTAATGATACTCAATTACATTGTTTGATTTTCTAATATTATCTAATGTGCAATTGTTCAATCGGCCACTTTACTACTGGCCATTAATTTTTAAATTACTAAATGTGCAAACTGTTAAAACATCCAGGTACATAAACAATAGGAATCGATTTTGTAACACAAAAATGAATTATTCACGTGCAAAATTAACTGCATAAGATATATATATCGTTCACTGATTTCTGAAGATTAAACACACATGTACAGATGTTTAACAATTACGTCAAATGTTAACCAAACAATCAATAATTAGGTAGCTATGAGTACAATTAAACAGTCGATAAAAAAACGGTTACACTTAATGCAAAACTAGTGTAGATATTACGAAGAAGCAAATATATGTTCCAGTAATTTAATTTTATATTTGTTATTTAACGCAGATAATCTATTGATTTTGCAAATTGTATACTTACATTAAACTATTGATTAATTAATGTTAGCTGCTACCAGTTCAATAAATTCAAATTTATCTACTGACTGGATGGACATTTAAAAATTATATATGTAATTTTGTTGTCGTTTTGATCAGTTGTAAAGTATATCAGTGTTTGTTGCATAAATTTTTATTTCTTCAATATATCGAGATAAATCGGTTTTATTTCGATGATCAAATAACAAGTAACGGTTATTCCGCATCTATAACAACCAGCAGTAATCACTATTTCGAAAAGACATTACAGTAGAAGGAGACTTAAAACAAAGTAACTCCCAATTAATATTGTTCAAGATCGACGTCGAAACAACATATGCTTGCATTTCACAAATGCATAAAATACTCTGAAGACTTGATTTTGTCGGCGTATTTGCAAAAAATGGGAACGCTGATTTGTATACATAATGTTACTGTTAAAAACAAGTTAACATGTTTACTATCAACTTGTTATTTATAAGGACTGTGAAAAATGAACAACTAGCCAGCAGATTTGTGAAAAAGTAAAGAAATTCCTCAAGGAGTACTACAGTGGTTTAGTAACCAAAAACAAGTTTATATGAGTTGCGCACTTTGATGTGGCGGCTGGTGATACTTTATATCTGCAACAACTCAAGAGCGGTCATGAAACCTCTTCAAAACCAGGACGCGTATAGAACATAGACAGGAAAATATATAAGCATATGGTATATCTCCTTTTTTTCTGATAATAATTTAAAGGACAGAAAGATGAGTATTGTGTTTCTAAGGACACTGATGCCCTGAGTAAATATTCTGAACAAGAGTGGAATATAATTTAAAACTACAATGTAAGGCTAGAAAAGACAAATATGAAATGAGTGTTGAAATTCTGTATACCGAATGGAAATAAGTATATACAAACTCAAACTAGATAGCACCATTCTCAGCAAGGGTTTAAATTATTTCGTTGTTGATACACAGGACTAAATTTTTGATCAATCTCTATTTGCATATGTTTATTCTGAGAGGATTGTTTTGATATAAACTTTGCAAAACGTTTTAAAGAATAGATGAACTGTAGTTAACAGAAGAACCCAGGATATACATTTCATTCTATTTACGACCGGTTAGTTGGATGTACCTGAATACCAGTGTTGATTTTCGTATTATGACTCGAGAGGTCCAAAATTCAGTCATGGATATTAACAAAGGGACTATTCAAACCGTAATAAATACGAAATAAAGATAGTATCCGTTGCATAAGCTATTTGGATTCGGTAGCTCAGTGGAAAACACATCGGTCAGTTGATGCGAAAGTTGTTAGGTTCTAGTCATAGTGTGGAGATGCAAGAACATGGCTGAAAAGTTATAAATAGGACGAAACCCGTGTTTTGGATTTCACAACTAGCTATAATCCGTTTATTTTATTCAACTAGGTAAGGTAGAAAGATATCAACAGTAGTAGATTCCGAATATATTCTTAGTTTTTCTTATCAGTGATGTGAAATAATGGAGACGGAATTCCCCATGATGTGTGATAAGCTAACTCGAATATTGTAAATGACTATTCGAAATCCATAATGATGTACGCCGAAAGAAACACTGTCATTGTGCGTTCACCTAGATTGGAACCATAATATAAATGTTAATCGTAAAACATTAATTAGCTAAACCACATGTTTTTCATCACATAATTTGCAAAATGTTTCAACAAGGTAGAATGAAAAAAGAACTTTAGGTCACGCGACCTATGATATGTGCGCTTATGCGCTCACAATCGATTATAAAATATTTACATAAAGACAAAAGCAAAGAAGAAGAATAGATTGTAAATAACAAAACTTCTATTATAAGCGATAGTGAATAGACAATATACACGATCAGCATCACGTTATTAAATTACACGAGCATCTAATGTCTAACTAGTATTGTGAGATGTTTATAATTAGATTAGAAATTCTCTGGTTTAATGTTATGTGTGAGCATAGCAAAAAATTACTGAAACCAAATACTAGGGAGAGTTGACCGTTAAACTTCCCTGAAAAGTGCTTACGCTTATGTATATGTATGTGCAAGGGCGAAAGTCTTTGTACCAGTGATATGCATTTTATGTGTAAGTGACAATCAGTTGTAGCATATACATACTAAAGGAGTGGTGATCATCTGCTCTCCCAGATAGGCGAATATAGCTAACTGTATGCTATGGGATGCATAGGTGAAAATTTATGTGTTACTGGTGTACACGTAACGTATATTTGCTGACAGGGTAAGTACATCTATGTGTATTCCAAGGGATCCATGGGTGAAAATTGATGTTACCGGTATGTATGTAGGTTACACTTGCTGCCGGTGCGACACCCACGGGCCAAAACCTAGGGGTATCTATTTCTCCACGCAATAACATCAACGCGGTGGGTTCGTGAGTCATGCAAAGTGGAAACTCTTTTAGGAAAGCCATTCGACTTCGCTAGATAAGGTTTCACCAACAATAATAGGCTAGGAACACCGTAATGAAACGGAAAATTTCTTTAAATCCGTCATGAAACAGAAAAAGTGAAAAAAGTCCGATAAAACAGACACCAAGACTATATATATATCAAGATATTATTCTTATACCACGACAGATGAAGAATTACAACATAATTAGAAAGGATATATTTGCAACAAAAATGTTATATATTTAAAAGTATCTGGATGCGTGTTACTGATGTCGACTTATATAAATAGTATGTGTCATCGATCGAAAATGAAATCCCTGGCGACAGAAGGTTAAAAAGATCGAAGAAAAGAGAACAAGAACAGAGAATGATTGTTGTGGAAACGAAGGAACAATGAAGTCTGAGATGATTGAATGATATTTCGCAAATGAATTATTTACTGTATGGTTCTTGAACTTTACAAAGGTATTCTGTAATTTTGTGTTCAAATATATTCGATTATCCCCATTTGTGTTCTCGCTCACTACAGATGTCCCCTTATAAATACTTTAGAAAACTGCAAAGCAGTTGTTGCATGTATTACTTGCCTGTTATGGTCAACATTTAGAATTATACAGTTACATTACTTCTGACTGAAAAAATGAATTAAAAGATAATACCTTAAACCTAATTATATTTTAATTCAAGTATAACGTTGAAACTGATTGTCTTTGATTTTGATCCGATCAGTGTTAATTGTAGCGAATGATGATCAATATGAAAACCGATGGGGTCATAGGTAACAGGTATGAAAGCAAAAGAAGACGGTGTTTTATCAAAAAGCACATTTTAAAAAAGATATCATAGCAATCAACTTTCAGCTATTATGTTCGAAATTCACTTTATATATTTCAGGGTTAGACACCCAGTTTAATATGACTAGAATTAATATGATGCATAACTCAAAGTTGTACTGATATCTATTGAACTAATTAATTTACATTGGTAAATAGATGGTAAAAAGAATTATGATTATGTCAGATTTTATTCATGTGGTCAATTTTGGAAAATTATTCGGTAGTAAAAGTTGCTGGTAATAGGTATATGAATTTCTTTTACCATAAATCACTATTAGTAAGTTTATTATTTTTCAAAAATATTTTGAAACAAAATTTATGCTTTGATTACTCTTGGATAACCGGAATCTATACAAATTCTACTATCTCACAATACAAAAACGGGCTCAAGAAAATTCGGCTATAATAAAATCACATTTGACTACAATTTTCACTACAGTTATTTCGACTTCTTTGTTATTAATGAAGTTAATTTTATCTCAGCCTGAATTAAGGCCAATATTTTCTTTGGATCAGTATTGATCATGTGTTTCAGTTAATTATTATACAGTTTGGAATCGACACTATCATAATAAAACGATCATGGTTACAGATAGATATAAAATAATTTACATTTAGATTCACGATAGGATTTATGTGCATATAGGAATGAAATAATTTAACGGTAATGAAAATGGTGTGATTTTAAGTAGAATTCTGTATTGACACAGTTTCCAGTTCACTCCACAAAGATTTTAATTTATATGAGGCACATCGAATAAATTAACCAACAATCACTTGATATTACTTCTAGGAACGATGTCATAAAATTTTGATTAGTTATCGTGCTATTTAGGTAGACTGATAGTTGGAAATTCAAATCCAGAAATAATGAACGAATTAGTAAAGCCATTGTTAATAGTGGTTCTAAAACTATGGAACAATACGTTGTAATGATGGAAATGCGACTAAGATTCTCGGAATATTGATATATGTGTACTTATCGATTTTATGCACAATGAATTTCTTATTAAAAGTACATCACGATTACTGCCCACATATGTTATGACATAATTGAAAAGTGCGTCGTTTAGTAAGTGAGTTTTACTATCAATGGTATGTTTAAAGTTTGAGAACGTATATGGATTAATCAGATAAGTCATGTTTATTTATGCGATAGGATATCAAAGAACTAGATTTAACAATCAGGTCCTAAAAGATCAGACATATAGACTGATTTGCTCCAATCTCCTCTGACATTTTATTTTGTATTAATACTTAGTTTATAAGCATGGCAATTTATTAAATAAAAAGCCTCTTCTGATTAGTGATCTTGTCTTTAGTCTTAAATTGTTAGCTGATTAAATCAACAACTAGTTCTCGTGAACAGTCATCACTAGGGTATATCGAATCACTGTATATCATCGATCGATCAGCATTCTTTCCATTTATATTAACGATTAAAATTTCATCGCATTAATCAATAAAATCCTCCACAACACTATATAAACAGCTCTCTTGTTTCTAAAATCTTTCATTTATAATGTGAGATCACGTACACTTAAATATTTTAAGGCAATGAACTGGAAACTCTCAGACTAAGCCTTATGGTTCCTGATAAATCAGCAAAACGAGTCTACGATCATGAATGCTGTGGGACGGTAAAACTTACATCGTATGCTTTGGCAAACTAATAGAAGGTCAACTGGGCCTGGAGTAGTTAAATGCCAAATGTTTCATGAGTAATACAGGTTTTCTCAAGGTTTAAAAACAAAACTTATAGGTAGGTATCAACGAACACGAAATATGAAAATATTATTCTAGTAAGTTGACTAGACCTCATCAAATCTACCAAGGACTCGGCTATCAAATAGTAACACATGATGATTGCAGTTCCCAATAAATTAACCCAAGTTGCACATGATTGCATTATTTGTTATCAAAAATTTTGAAATAATATTTAAAAGATGTGTTAAAAACCATATTTACTGCAAAAAGGATGGCCGGTGATCTTCGTGCACAGTATAACTGATGGTGGTTGCCATTCTGAACAAATTTATTTTATTGGTAACTCTAAGAACGAATCATTAAGATATGTAATTTATTAACTACGTCTGCGATAAGACAAGTAGAATATTAATATTACCGATTATAAAATCTGAGATAAATTTGACGAAATCCTTAACTTTCAATAAACTCCACCGGTAAATAATTTTATAACTAGAGTAGAAATAAACTTGAACCGATATGCCAGATTGATACATCTAATATTTCATATACATGGTGAAATATATCGAAGTACAGAGATGAAAATTTATATACCATTTATGTAAACGACAAAAAAATAGATTGGACAGTTTTTTAAACATTTTTAATGAAGAGAACAAGTGTAAGCTTTTCCGTTTTAGTATTAATACTACCCAATCGATATCAAGCAATTATAACATGGCAAAAAGTGAATAATCAAAAATAAATTTATTTCTAAGGGCTGAACTGGAGTGACTTGAGTGTTCGAATTCAAGTTTACAGAACGGGCTTTGAACATTAAGCAACTCAATGATTCATAGCTAAGATTAATAAGTATTAAACTAAGGCTGCATAAAGCGTCTAAATTAGTTTTCATGACACGATAGGCTTGGATATTTCTAACAAGCCACACACGAAATCTGAGGGTTAATATTACTAACCCTTAGATTTGGGGAAACAGAAAAAGCAACCGGGTTTGAAAATGCACTCTAATGCTTAACAGTTGAATGCATTAATCGCGGAGTCATCGACTCTATAGAAAAAGAAATGAATATAATTACACAAAAAACTAAACAAATTGTAATAACGTGATACTAAGAAGTATAATCTCCGAACCTAGTCATAAAGTACCTTAATACAATGTCATCAATATAAAGAAAATAATAGTAATTTGGAGAAAATACCGTACGAAATGAAGGTATATATATATATATATCGAAAGATTCAAACAAGAAAAATATACTCACTTCGTTTTTTTCACATAGTTCTTCTTTAATTCGCTCTAAATCAGCTAGATCTGTTTCTTTTTCATGAAGTAATTGATCATTGGACATAGTTAAAAATGCCATAAATTCATCATGATCATAATACGCTCCATTTGGAAGAGTATGTCGATTAACTCTGGAATAAAAGAGGAAAAACAACACATGATGATGTTAATTTTAATAAAATTAGTCTTTCAACATTGATTAAATGAAACCACCAAAAACGGGGCTTATATATACAGTGAACAAACTTGATAAGACTTATTAAAACTGAGATCTAATGATGTAAATTAATAGCTTACGGTATAGTAAGAACAATTCAGTCAACTGAATATTTTATAATAATATACTGCAAGTAGATACAGAATATTGTGATTATCGATCATATTCAGCTTAGTGTTCAGTGTATAGATTATTTCTCATAAAATTCAATTGTTTGAGCTCAGTTTAATTCTAATATTTAAATAAAAACAATCGCCTTTAAAATAACTAGGTGAACATGACTGGTAGTGGACTCGTAGGTTAGACGAAACGCGCGTTATTGATTCCCCTAGTACTGATATTCCATCTATTCTACATAAACTTGTGAAGTAATAACCATATCGAGGAAATCCGCACAGGATGGGCATATGGCAACTAAGATTGATCGAAATTCAGTCATAATATCAACAGCGGGATAATTCAAACCACTACAAATCAAATTGAGATAAATAGGTTAATAAATTAAACGTGAAGCACATTATAGACTTGCATTATATAAAATTATTATTTGTGTAAATTTGTTTCTATTGGTATTCACTCATTTGCTATACAGTAAATTTGATAAAAATAATTCATATCAAAGTCGTATCTTATTGAACAATCAGATTTGTTTAGCTAAGTTTAGAAATACTTTTTTCAAATAATGTCTATTAATTTATACAAAATATCTATCAGTGAGACGAACAGTGACTCTGTGTAAATTTGTAGTGCATTTTTTACATAAAATATCTGAACAAGTATATATGTGACCAGATTGTTCGAAATGTAATGTGCAAATTTGTCATATAATTCTGATAACCTTCGTTTCATCGCAAAATTCAAATTTATCAAAGGGAATAATTGTTCTAAACTTGTACAGAATAACCCGATTTTCAAAAATGTTTTGTACAATATGTGAAAAGCCAAACTTCGGATAAGTTACATAATTGTTTTTGCAGATTTATCATAAGAATGACGCCATCTATTAATCTTTCGAAACAGAAACAATTAATTTAACATCTAGTTATCATAATTTACATCAAGGACGAGGAAGCGCTGGATAGATGTATGAGACTCCTCAGAAATGCGTATTCACGACCTCACTGAGGATGGAATCCAGAACTTTCGGTCTCGCAGCCAGACCTTAACACCTAGACCCCATGTAGCTTTTCAGTAAGATACTACTGTGAACATGGACTGAATGCAGTGAAACTGACCGTATGTTTAATATGGAAAAGATAAGCTTCTTATAAAATGATATTCACATAAGTTCGCGCGAGACATCGTGAGTCGAGCCATGCGTCCAGGATCACGGATGCCCGCTGGACGAAACGGTTGTCCAGTGCTTCAAGGTTTTGAATGATGGTCTAACATTGATCGGTTCATGATCTCAATAAAAACACAAGAATCTCCACAACCCTATATTAGTAAAGCAAATACATCCAATTTTTAATTTTATTGTTAAATATCGAGTATTATGATTTCTTGTATTATTTGTTTACTATCGGCGTATATAGTCCCTGCTCTTATTCATTTTCATGTCTTTTATGTTTTTGAACTGAAGCAGCTTAAACTGACAAAGTATCTTGTAATAATCTGAATACTAAATGTGCAAATGGACAGAAATAAATGTTTTGTTTTTATAGAGTCATCTAATCTGAAAGTAGTATTTATCAATAAAAATTGTTAGTCTAACAACGATTGAAGATACGACAGCAATAATTGAGGATTACTTCAGTAATGAATATTTTCATATATAAATAAAATCAAACCTATGAGATTTGTGTTTCATGGCTAGTACATCACAAATAAGAATAACGCTACGATTTTATCGCTTCAGTTAACATTCAGATAATTGAAAAATACCATAAATAAAGATGGTTGGGCCTTCATTTTGATAAAAAGCTGAGGTACTCGAAGAGAAACAAGGGAAAAGTAATTCAATGTGTAAACTTCACTGATTTAAATTAAGTTTCGTAATGGCAATAGATAAAAAAATTATCATGAAAAATACTAATATGCGTTTTGCATGACCTTAATTTCATGATTTGTCAATTCTAGCATGGAAGCTTATAAGGGTCATCAATAGTATGATGAAGGACTAATATTAACGCTACATTGTTTCTTAAACTTTGATTAGAGTGTTATATAAGATGACAAAATCAGTTATTTGACGACAAAGTATTTTCTATAAAGTAGAACATTGGTTCTCCCTTAATAATTAGCTAAATTACAAAAAAAAGATTTTTGAAAAAGCTAATTTCATAAAACTAGCTAAATCAAAAACGATTATAAAATGTTTGTCAACCGTTGACAATTTATATTTCCAGTTCATACATTTTTATGTTTTCACACGACAAAGTAATATTTAGAAGGGTCTGTTATTAAGGTGATGTCATATGATTATGTTCTTTATCTTTAAACGTGTTTATAACGGTGTTCTACATTTTTACCATGAAATATTGCGAACCCAACGAAAATTTGCAAATACTGTCCATTGTTAGCTTAATAATAGCACACAAATGATATTAGATATGTACTTACTTTCCTTGGCTAACTGATTCACTGCCAATCTGTGAAGATGCTTCAGAACTACTTGTCTGATAAGTATTGGTAGACAGAGGTATAGTAGGAGAACTTGATTCATTGTCTCGTGCAACTGAATATGGCAGACTTCGCAGCGGAGAAGATGAAGAGACATCTTGTGCAGATTTTGAAGGGGAAGTTTGATTGTCTGAAGTTTGGAAAGGATACGGCGTAGACATCAACTCTTTACCAAGTAAATGAGCTGTTTTCGAAGCACCAAGTAAATTCACTAAATACGATTCAATTTCCCTCTCCAAAGGATCTTCGGTTAGTCCGAATCTCCGGCCATTAATGTGCATGTTTCCAGGAGATGAAGATTTCGCCCAACGACATGTAACTAACCCGTTCCGAACAGCTCGAGAAAAGCATTGTTCAATTAATTCACTATGATATTTATTTCTTGTTCTTGCTTTGAAAGGAGCAGCAATGGAATAATATAAGGCGCATATATCGCCCATATGTCGTCCAGGTACCTTTAGTGAATTTAAGAAATTCAGATGAGTTACTAAAAGTTCCTTGTGACAGTTAGCAATATTACAGATTACAGATGGTTTAGAACGAGTTGTAAGCAATCGCAACATTGACAAAATTGGGGTAAAATGACATTAATTGGTTCACGACCTAGAAACCAAACTACTGAAATTTTCGGATGACATACATGATTAATAGGATTGTAGTTTTATTTTATTTATTTTAACACATAGATATTGGTACAAGGAGGCACCAAATACATATGCGCCACACAAATCTCATTCGATATGTGTGAGGGCTATGATACTGCCCGGGTGTCCAAACCGAAGCAGGTGGTTTTCATACGGGGCCACTCCCCGAGCCTTCGACCTAATGGTCTGATCCACAAGGCAGTGGAGCATCGTAGGGAGATGCAGTCCCATGGAAGCCGGTGACCAGCAATTGGTTCATACGCCATTTGTTCCCGCAGGATACTGGAGCCCATGTGCACCATTGGTTTGGAATCCGGTTAAAGCGCCGGACATTCGCTTTTCGTCCTCTCATTTTCGTAAACAACACCCCTGCCACGAGAAGGCAGTGAGTAGGACTTCCCTGGCAGAGGCTATATACGCGTGGCCATGTGAGAGCATTTCGAGAGGGAGAGCGGACTTTCCCCACTATCGGCCGTACCAGGGCATTTGGGGGATTGTAGCAGAGCTAAGCACTCGGCTGCTTTACTTTGGGCATGAACTTGCTTAGATAAACTGCTATCATTAATAAGACAAGAAAAAGGAAATCAGTTCAATGACAAATACTTAATACAAACGATAACGCTCATTAACACAAAACAAACTAGTATATCTGCTCTTGATGATATGAAGAAATCTGACAATAGGATTTAACTATTTCCTCATCATCCATCCTTATAGTTGATTATAGTGTAACAAGGTTATCAACTTGAAATGAATCTTTATACTGTCAAATGTATATAAATGTCCTTAGCTTTACTGTAACACAAAATAGTCCAGTCGAAATATTAAAGGGATTTCACAGCATTATCTTAAAGTTCACATACACTACACATTGAATATCATAAATAACTATCAGCTTTTTCTATATACAGGCTGAATTAATGTAACCAAATAATAAAGGAATACAAATAAAGCATTGCGGAAAATAAACAGAAATTACAGTCATAAATAAACAAAATTCCCTGGAATTATTTTCCATCCAAGCATTCAGAAAGTCCATATAGAGCCTAGTCTTTATTTTAAATGTTAAACAGATAAAAAATGAATCGTTGTACTAAGTTCCTTTACTACCGTACTGTTGGAACAAAAAGATACTCAGAAGTAAATAATGTAAGTGTGAGGAAACGAAAATCTGTGATATAAGGATAATCAAGGATACAAACTTCTATCACGTTTGTCCTAAAACTGAAAAATTCTCACACATAAAGTATACACATCGAAAAGTATCCTTTTACGAGAAATATGTTTTTCAGTTATTGATAAAAATCTAAAAGAACGCCAATAACGACTATATTTTCGACTTGTAAAGAATTATAAAACTAACTTGTTAAACAGTTCAATTCATCAGAAATGATAACGGTATTAGAACAAATATAACCGCCCAAATATATACTTAAGATTAAAATAAACGTAATATACAGCTAGATGTAGAAAATGTTTGCCTACTTATAAACAAAAAAGTAGGCTGGAAATATACTACAAAAAAACGTTATGTTTCAATACCTAGCGAAGTTCCAGCAAAACGGAGAAATAAATCCAGGTCATATATCCATGAAGATTAGGAGATTATTTACCAAGTTCTAAACTCCTGAGTATGCATTTCATTCAAAAATACTAACCAGTAAGTCTCGTGATTGTTGACTAGTTTGAAAGTACTACATGAATGAGCTACTAAGTAGAGAGATCTGATGTTCCTTTTTTAGTTTTCCGTCTGTTTAAATACATATAAACAACCCATCAACTTTGCAAAAAAGGCTTAGTCCATAGGTTACTGTAAATAAAATTATAATAAATGTTCAGTAAGTGGGACTGATTACGTGAAAATAGAGTTTCAATAAGTAATAATATAAGAATTTATTCAAATAACAAATATGTCGAGTATCATAACAAAGATGAAATACGATTTGATAAGTCACTTCTCACGCACACTCAAAAGTGGTAATATAAAGTGGATTGTTTGAAGTCTTACCGCACAAAACTTTATTCAAAAGAACGAAATCATGATTATTTACGTAACCTAAAGGACTTTGCTTCAAATGAATATTAGGTTAAATGATTAGTGGTATGTACTACTTAGATATTTGTTATAATCCCTATCAAAATTTACATAGAAAATTGCACTATTAGTTCCTAGATATTTTTAATCTATATATACAGAGTTAGTGATCATCTTACACTTGTAAATAATTAGCATTTGAAAACTCAGTGCAAACAGTTAGGATTACAGTTAGTTTACAATTTAGATAAGAGGAAATAAACTCTTACAAGAACTCATAGACCTTTATAACATAATGATAAAATTTAATTTATCTGGAAAAAGTGTGCCTTCAAAAGTGAAAATCAACAAATTGAGAGTATAATATATGGAAAAACCTAGCACTAATTTCTGCTTACTGTTCAACTGTTTACAAAAACTGAATAACCCAGAATTAACAAATTTTACCAAACATACACCTTGGTATCATTTAAAAAACCTTGAACTTGAAAAATCCAAATACCGATAGTTCAAGAGTGTAACAAAGACATCTAAAGCACGTCTAAGTTACCATTGACAAATACATTGTAAATACTCAGTTAAAATGCTTCCACTTGTCACCGGAAATTCAAGTGATACTCCAAATGAAAAAATTAGGTATTCACAGTTGCATTACAATACTACATTTAAAAAGCTGGAAGGCCTAAGAATTTCATCATTTTACGAAACAATTTGTAACTACTAAATGACAGTAGAATAATTCATAAGGCATTCACACAAGAATCAATATGAATATGAAGTAATTCAATGTACAACAGATTATTTAGTGATACTTGTCTATATAACATCAAGAAAACGAATTACATTTGTTACTCTTCCTTTAAATTGAGTATGTGCATAAATTAGATTTTCAGTCATAAAAAAAGCTTTGTATAAAATAGAATACAATTAAATGTGGTTTTAATTCTAACATTCTAAACGATCATCAGCTAATAAGGATATACTAGACTCATAATCCAAATCCGAATTACAAGTCACTGAATAAAACAGTAACATCGGAAGAAATAATGTGCCAATTTTAAAGCATTCATAATAATCGCAAACAAAGCAAATGGTGTTATGGTAACCGTTGGTAGAGATCATTTTATGATAAAAGCGAACTTACGAATATGTATTACTGAAAAGTTCAATCACTTTAGAAACTAACCATGTAATTGTATACAGTGTTTTCATCTTCTAATTATTCGCATAAACTTTCCTCCTGGTTTGAAAAAGTAGTCGAGGTCAAGAAATTATGTTTACAAACACCAACAAAAGGAGTGAATATTTAATCTTACTGTCTTTAACATGAGTAACTGTAGACAAATCATTAACAAAAACACGACATAAGACACTGCAAATGTATTTTGAAAAGTCACTTGTAGAAAACAAGTTTAAACAAGAACACAAAGAATCATGAACAATGAGAGATCAAACATTTTTAAAATACAAGCTACTTCATCGTGTGAAACTTTTATAGAAACCTTAGTAAATGCTAAACTCGTATTTTTTCCAGTAAAATGAATAAGTACGTTAGTCTGTTAACTGTAATGAACGCTAACATGCTAAGAACCTTCTAGTATATTTTGTTTCCTAGTTTATAAAATTCTAAACGTTTGTCGATAACATGCGCAAATTAAAATACAAAAAGGATGGTCAAAAAATCTGATTGCTGTAATATAACAGTAACTAGGTAGCTGTTACTACATAACTATAGTTGACATTTCACAGGAGACAAAGATTGGTATAAAAGATGAATCTGTTATTGAAAGTTATACGAATAATTTTAACAGTAAATACGATCATTCAATTACGTTACTCAATACTTTCCAGCAGCAGACGTATAGTTCACGAAATTGGGAGGACTAGAAGCGAATATCTGGAGCTTAAACCGGGTTCGTGTGCACGGAGTATCCACTGAGGGGAGTTGGAGAACGCTGATTCCAGATTAGTGTTGTATATGGGTTCCAGGGTGTAAAATGTGATCGATAGACGAACCCATCAATAATAAAGTGAAACGCCCACCACCACATTAACACCCTTTGACCTTGTGCGACTGTATCTCTTTATGAACCAATCACAGTTTGATTTTCATTGTAAAACAATATTTGCTTGTTGACTAATTTTTATTATTCTCTGGCTACTGTTAGGTATGTTATTTGTCTCCGTTTTTCCCTGTATTAATAGACCGTACTATTTGTTTGTACACTAACGATGTTGATTTATGTTTTAGAAACAGATAACGTTTACCTAGCCAAATAGCTTGCTTGTTCTGACTTTAGCCAAACCAAGACTTTGTATTCGACGGTCTAGGGAATAGCTCAGAATTAAACCTGTAGGAAATTGCTTCCTGCACAGGGTCCTCAGAGAACAAATGGTGTATGGACCTGTTTTTGGTCATCGGTTGTCATTGGACTGTATCACCTAGCGTTGCTCCACTACCTTGTGGATCAGACTTCTAGATCAAAGGCTAGAAGAGTGTGTCTTTAAGAAAACCATCTGCTTCAGTTTGGGGGCCCAGGCAGTATCCCAGCCTGCACACAAATTTATTGATAACTTTTTTGTGTGGTGCATATATACATTGGAACCCCTTTGCACCAAAATCAATGTTAATATTTAAAATTCACAAAAACCGGGCTGTTAATACATACATGATAATTTCCATCTGATTTTTGTGATGAAGCAACAGTCAGATTCAAAAGCAAATAAACTTAGTACAAATGAGTAACATTTTCAAAACTATTAAAAATCTTTATAT